AGCAGCCGTGGCCATGTTGCCGGCTTCGTCAGTTTCATCAGGAGAAGGAGAAGCACGTTTAGATTTAGGCATAGCAATGAAAATAACAGGCTCCAGCAAGCATTCGAATGTTCTCTAGCGTTGTAGACGTCGTCTAAAGTATTAAGAATACTTAATGTTCCCGTTGACTATTGAGAAGAAATCAAATTTACGGAGCAGCTCCCGGACGCGCCTCACTCACTCAACTGCATGCTGGAAGTCGGTTACTGATGTTTTAATCACGTTACTTGTCTGGCGTTAATGAAGCGTTAATGTCGAGCCCTGGAGTCTATGTGCCAGGGCTCAGCCCCAGACGGCCCCAGCCCAATTCAAACCCTGCCTATACATAATACTTTTAAAGCTCTTTTTTAAAATCTTGTCTTACATAAATTTCTACAAATGCCATGGCATGCCATAACATCATTAAATTAGCATCTTACAATGGACAAAAGTGTATTTTTTCCTTCTCTAACCTATGGTTCTCTAACCATAAAGGCTACTGTGTAATTTGCCCCCTGACTAAGCATTTAAAGAATTTAGGGGAAACATTTAAATAATCCTGTGAATGCACTTAAAGATTGCAGAATCGTTAATCGAATCGAATCAAATTTAATTGTGAATCGAATGGAATTGAATCATTCTTAATTTGCAAAAATCGTTCTTGAATCGAATCGAAAACCTATGAATCGTGAATCGAATCGATTGGCTGTCTACCCAAAGATTCACAGCCCTATCTATAAGCATCAATTTAATAGATAAATTATTTTGAAAACTTTTTGTCAGCATAGTCTAGGGCTGACAGTGACATGTGCAAAGTTTAGTAAAGGGAAAAAATGTGGAGTTTTTTATTTTTTTATTTTTTACTTTTTTTTTAAGCTTATCATTCAAAAAAATCCTGCTCTTGTTCGAGGTTGAAGCTATGATTCAGAAAAAGAAGAATTTTGAATCTATCACACACGGTTGCGAAGTTATTAGCTAAATGTAAAGTTACTTTTTATAGTGCCATGTTGTGGCCGATTTTCACAAAGTTCGGTACATTTGTTTTACTGTTAGGGATGTGTATCTCCATAACTGAGGCCAATGTGATTCGCATCTCGATGCATAGCCAGTAGGGCTGAAACGATTAGTCGACATTATCAACAACGTCGACAATAAAAAATTGTCGACAAGTATTTTTGTTGTCGAGCAGTCGTTTGATTTCATATGACCTAATGTAAGAGCCTGCAATAACGCGGTTTGACCAGTGTGGCGTTTCACAGGGCCGTTTCTAGCCATTTTGACGCCCTAGGCGAAATCCCTATTAGCGCAAACTCCCACCCCCCCCATCCCACTCCCACACAAGAAAATATAAGATTACATACAAAATAACATAAAACTGATTATGTAAACACTCAAATCTTAAATAAATTTCCTAATTATATTTGCATATAGGTTATTATAATTTCTTTTCAGACATTAGTTTCTTGTCACATTCAAATTGGTTGTCATAGTAATGACACTAATTTGTGGAGATTCAGCGCATTGTGATTTACACAATTCTGAACGCATTTGCAAATTGACTGTTAGGATAAACATTTTGCACAATTTATTATCTGGATGCCTGTATAGCTCTATGTAACAATCACACATAAATTAATTTTATTCCATTTGGATACGTTTAGATATTATCATTGGCAACTTTTTGTCTTTATCTGATTTTTGTTCAATTGTTTTGAAAGTGAAGTGGACAAGTTCAAGGACACCTCAGTCATGGTATTGAAGGTGGGAGAGAGTGCTGTACATTCACTCCCCACACCTACAATTCCTGCCGGTACGAGACTCGAACCCACAACCTTTGGGTTTGTTGGTCAAGTCCAACTCTCTAACCATTAGGCCACAACTTCACCACGTCAGTTATTGCATTCAGTCAAATATAAAACCCTTTTTACCTCAAACTACATATAAAAGCCTGATCAGTGATATTTTCCTGTCAAAATAATGGAGTTCATTTAGAATTATCCCTTTATGCAATCTGTACTTTTTCTATTCTTCTCAATGGATGCACAGCGTACCTGTATTTGACGCACCGTAAACTCTAGTGTGAAGGCGCACGACTCGCCGTCGCTTTGCTGATAGCGCTGTTTCTCTCACACATGCAAAGAGAGAGAGTCAGAGTAAACAATATTCTTTGTTGTATTTTCCTGTCAAAATAATGGAGTTCATTTAGAATTATTCAGCTTTTAAGAACTGCCGGTAGTGGGCATAATTTTTTCTCATACGACAATCTCATTGGCTGGTGCTTACCTATTATCGTCCCGGTTTTGATTTCAGCAAATCAATTCGAGTGAACACACACAACCTGATTAATATTCATGAATCCAGCAGCTTGTTAATCCTTAGTGCGCACCTGTATTTGACGTACCGTAAACTCTAGTGTAACGGCGCACGACTCGCCGTCGCTTTGGTGAGAGCAGAGAGCGAGAGAGAGTCTTACATACATGCAGAATTGATGCGCTACATGTAAACGATAATCTTTGTTGTATTTTCATGTCAAAATAACAGAGTTGCTTTTGGATCTTTTCAGCTTTTAAGAACTGCCGGGTTTTCTAATGCGCAAATGGCAATCTCATTGGCTGGCACTCACCTAATATCGTCCCTGTTTTGATTTCAGCAAATCAGTTTGAGTGAACGCACACAACCTGATTAATATTCATGAATCCAGCAGCTTGTTAATCCTTAGTGCATTTTATATTGTTCTAATTAGTAGAATTCTAAGTATTATTATTATCTTATCAGTATTATTGTTAGTTCTTCCCCATTTTTTTTTACAGAAACACTGAATGACCAAAAAAGCAGCAACACCAGTCCTAAATTCAGTTAAAATGACTAATATGCATTCATACATGGTATTAATTCTAATTACTAAAGTTCTATCATTAAATAATACTTGATTATCATATACAATGCTTGATGTTAAGAATGTAGTACTTTCAGATATTTAAAAAGCTGTGCCATTTTACAAACATTATTTATATTTATACACACACACACAAACACACACACACAGACACACACACACACACACATGCATGCATATATGGTATATCAGTCTGGCGAGTAAACTAAAAAATGTACTAGCCAATGGCGATTCAATTGCCAAGGTGTCCGTAGAAGGTTGATATAGTACTTTATGCAATAGATAGCCTTAAATCAAGCAGCTTTACAGTATTAAACATGAAAAACCAGAGTCTGTGTCGCTTTCAGTTAGAATTACAACTTGATATTCTGTTATAAATCAGCTCCCCAGTGTGGAGCTAGCTAACGATAAAATATTTTTATTAGTGGGGGAAAACATTTCATTAAAGTATTAGTTTGGTTTGCAGAGATCAAAGCTTGATCTAGCTCAGGACTGTTTTAATTATCAGCAATAGATAGCCTTAAATCAAGCAGCTTTACAGTATTAAACATGAAAAACCAGAGTCTGTGTCGCTTTCAGTTAGAATTACAACTTGATATTCTGTTATAAATCAGCTCCCCAGTGTGGAGCTAGCTAACGATAAAATATTTTTATTAGTGGGGGAAAACATTTCATTAAAGTATTAGTTTGGTTTGCAGAGATCAAAGCTTGATCTAGCTCAGGACTGTTTTAATTATCATAACCCTATAAGGTATTTTAAGAGAGATTATGTTGTGAATAAAATAATTTATCCAAAAATAAAATGTCACTTAACCTTTACTTTGTTTCCATCCATATGACTTACAAAAAGAGATTTTAGGCAGAATGATGTGTCATTCAACTACTTTCTCATATAGCTAATTAAATGGTGAATAACAGTTTCTCTGCCAAATATATTTATTTGTATAAATAATTGTAATTAAATAATATGACTTTCAAAAGCTGAAGTAATTACCTTAATTTGTTAGAATATGTATAACTCAATATTTCAACTAATTGCAAAAACTGAAAAATCAATAAATGTCTACTGATTGATCAGCGAAATAATTGACTATTTCGAATAATAATTTTAATAATCGTTAGATTAATCGATTATCAAAATAATCGTTTTTTGCAGCTTTAGCGATACGATACATTAAAGATACATATGAAGCAGCTTCTGATGCAATGCGATATGATTCACACCTATTATGATGCAGTGTGATCCGATTTCGATTCAATTCAACAAAATGCGATTTAATGCAATACGATGCAATGGGAAAAAAATATGATGCTATGCAATTCAATATGGTACAGATAGTTTGCATTTATTTCTTTGGTTTATTGTAATTATTTGGTGGAAGATGCAGCTCTACCTCTGCCACGTTAATCTATATTCTGTGTGACTCTCAGGACACGCCTCGGTCTCTGTAGTGTTGTGATACATGTTCACTAAGCAGCAGTGCTGATGAGAGAACGTGCTTGAGAAACAGTTTAGAGAAGTAAAATCAATTTACATATAAAATATTGGTCACAAATTATTGGTCACTTTTTAAATAATAAAAGTATAGAGCATCTACTAATAATTATATATAAATAAATCTGTTTTTACTTTTTTACAGATGCAAATATGTTAGAAACGATGCATCGCGATACAAATGCCAACTTGTGTCCGATGCACATTTTTTTTAAATCGATATATTGCATCGTTAACTTTTATGCTGATGCACCGATGCGAATCGGTGAATCTTACCATCCCTATTTACCGTGATGTAACAATATGTATAGTTTTTGTAACAGTACAGGCCATTCAGATTTGATGTTATTAACCACTGAGTTTTGATTGGCTGCTGGTATATATATATATATATATATATATATATATATATATATGTAATATTATATCTATCTATCTATCTATCTATAGTGACAGTGCAAGTTTGGGGTCTCTTGACACCCACAATATTTTTAGAACAGAATAATAAGGAAGAAGAAAATCAATACCTGAAATGTGCTATTTGCAACAAAAATGCAGTGCTCATTTAAAATGATTTATATATCTACACAGTATTATCAAGAAGAGTGCTGAGGAACCATTTGATAGACACATTTCATTTCGAAACGACACGCTATCTCCAGATATCAGGTACTCTAGATATGGTTCATATTTTTTTTTTTTCTAGTTTCAATTTACAGTTTTTGATATGAATTAAGTGAAACATTTTCCACGTCAATTCCACACCATTTCCCACAGTACACTTTCAGCCACTCTACTGACAGAGGATCACTACAAGTGTCCAGTGTGCACAGAAGTCTTCAAGGATCCAGTTTCCATCCCCTGTGGACACAGTTACTGCAAACACTGCATTGAGATCTACTGGAGCAAACCAACTCAAGCTGGAGCTTACGCTTGTCCTCAGTGCAGAAAGAGGTTCAGAGATCGTCCTGTGTTGAATGTAAATGTTGCATTGTCTAAACTGATTGAGGAACTTCAGAAGGCAGGGTTTAGTCCTGCTCTTCCTGCTCACTGCTACGCTGGACCTGAAGATGTGCCCTGTGATATCTGCACTGAGATGAAACTCAAAGCTGTTAAATCCTGTTTGACCTGCACTGCATCTTACTGTGAGACACACGTCAGACAACACTACACAGTACCAGCACTGCAGAGACACAGCCTGGTGGAGGTGATTGGACACTTCAGTCATTATTTTGCCTGCCTAATACTCAACATACTCCACAGTTTTTATTTATATATTTTTTTCCAATAGCATAAATCGATAAACAAAGTATATAACATTAAGGTTTTAATTTTCTTTTATTTTGTTTCTTTTAAGTGTTCTATACATTTTTTTATTTATTTTTAATAGATTTTTAGTATCCACTTTTACACTTTTGATTTGCACTTTTACAATTTTACACTTAGCATTTATTGATTTGCTCAAAGTGAACCACTTGTCATGAATGCTGTCCAGTGTTTCCCCTAGGTTTACGGCTTTGGAGGGGGGAGGGGGGAGGGGCACACATTTTATTAAACAAAAAGCATGTCTAATTAATTAAAATCATGAAACTTAAACAATTTAACATCAATTTATTAAAAGTTTAACAAATATTACGTTTAGGGCCCTATGAAATGTTTTATTTGTCCAACCTTATGTTTTATTGTAACCAAATTCTGTTTTAGCATGTCTAATTTGAAAGCATAAAACAAATTTCATTTATTCTTACAATAGCCTTATGATTTTTTTGCTCAGAAATTCTGTGTTGTGTATTTACATTTTGTTTTAAGGCATAAAACATTCATTTAATCTATCTTTTAAGTAATGAAAATTAAACAAATTAATTTTTGGGGAAAATAAAGGTCATTTAAATTACAATTAAATAATTATCAGTAATATATTTCTGCCACAATGCCCTCAAGTTAAACCAAACTTTTATTTTGATGGGTTGCCATGAATACCATTACATTTCTGTGTGTGTATGACATGATGATAGTTTTACTGAAATGAAATGGTCAAATGCTGATGAAGTGACTCTCAGAGCAGTTCTGGAGATGTTGTTCATGTATTTATGTCCTCATTAGTGAGACGGCAGAGGTTAATATCACCGGAAGCATCACGAGCGTTTCAGTACGAGTACTACACAAAACCGCACGTCTGCGCCATTCATTAACAAAGAGACACGCAGAATTCATATTTAAATATGAATCGTTTTGCGGCTTAATATTTACAAATACTAGTGGGAGTGGGCTTACTTGTGGGTGTGTGTGTAAGTGGGCGCATCGGGCGGAACTCCGCTGTGCGTGATACAGAGAGCGTGACCATAACGGAGAGACTGAAATGACATGCCGTCGAAAAATAACATAAGGCTATTTAGTTTGCTTAGTGAAAGAACAAGGTATAGACATGTTCTATAAGAAAGGTAACTTTAAATGACTTCTGTTGTGATCTGGCGCTATAGAGAAAATATAATTAAATAAAATTAACTTGACCTTCTAAAATAATGGGGAAACACTGCTGTCTATGTTGTTGTTTTTTATTTATAATTTGATATATTTTGTTTAGCCTTGCAATTTACCACATCACCTTGAGACCACCAGAATGTTCAGAGCAGAGAAAGAATTGCTAGAAGAGATGAAAGGGCTGACGGCAAAACTTACTAAACTGGAAGCGGTAACTTTACAGAACTTTACAATTTACAACGTGAGATTTTATTGTGAAGATGTAAACATTTTTTCAAGTGATTTTGAATTATTCTGTTTTCTTTTCTAGACTCTGAGAGACAAAGACGCACAGGCCAAGCGTTTGTGTAAAGGATTTGAAGTTCACTGTAATGGTGAGTGAATACAGTGCCTCTAGTTAGGTACAGTCAAGGCCATATTTCTGCAATTTAAATGACTTTGCAGATCAACTTGTATATTTTTATATTGCATTGTATATTTGATTCTTTGTGTTTGTGTTTCTCCCAGATTTTCCCTCAGATGTAATTGAAATTGCTGCTTTAGGACGCCCTTTGAGCCTTGGAACATTGTATGACAGTAACAGTGATTCTTTTAGCCAAAGTAAGATCTTTAGTTATTTTATTTAGGTTAAAGTAAACTGTGAGAAACAATGCTTCCATTGCACAATTTCTCCCACTGACAATTACGGATACCTGTATTTACATAGCATTTGTAAAAACTTTTTTTTTTAGATGATCATGTTAGATGGCTTCATTTAGCAAAAAGATTTCCTTCAGTTACTTTCACACTTAATTATACCTGTTAAAATGTATTATACAAGCTTTTGTTACTTTCACTGTTCATTTTATTGCTCTATGGTATTTCGTTTATTTTAATGGTGCATTAGAGCTGCTCCACTGCAGCGGCTCAGTAATCACAAGACATTTTCCTGTAATAACAGGAGTACAGGAGTGCAGTATTTGGCCGATACCAGTATCGTATCGGTGCATCCCTAATTCTGAAAACTCTTTGTTCATTATATATCCAACATTTGTTTTTCTCTAGACACTTTTCTGTGGAATGAAAGCACTATTGCGTGTATGAAAGTGTCTCTGCCTCGGCCTCAGACGGAGGTTAAGGTTCTGGAAGGTGACTCCCTACAAGAGAGATTCAGAGCCCTTGAAACATCTCCTGTATTAAGAGCAAGAATTTTGCATGGACTATTAGAAGGAAGTGGAGCTGCAGCCTTTTTGAGCCACCCAGTTCAATCTCAACACCAGGACAGAGTTATACTACACTATCGAACCACCACCAGACTGGACATGATCAGCCAAAGACTGTTACAGGAAGGAGCTCCTGCCTCAGTCATTAATGCAACCACAGCTACACATGTGATCATCGCTGTGTTCTATGGAGCCCAAGCCTTCTTTGTTTTTGATAGTAAAAACAAAATTTCTGAGAAAAATACAGAAATGAAAAAGGTGGTGAAGAAGATGACCTCTTTGGTTTGTTCAAATTTACACCTGAATTTCAAAGAAAAAACTAAAAGCTTGTTGTATGACTGTAATCTCTACATTGATGTTGGGGATTGGAAGAATCCAGTGTCTTTTGATAAGGCGTTGGAGATCTATTGCTCTCTGCCAATGCTGCTTGGATCAAAAGGTGAGAGAGCAGTTCCTCTGAAGGTCTGGCTCTATCCTCTGAAGAAACTGAACAAGAGCGCTGTGCGTTCTGCTCTGAGTGGTGTCAGTGAAAACTTGATGCATCAAGCTGAGAACATTCTGGAACATCTGAGAAAACAGATCAGGATCTGTCAGGATTTAATGACTAGTCAAGCAAATCTAACTGTGATTTTGTGGTTCACTGCACTAAAAGATAAATTAATTGAATTTTCAGCGTTTCTGCAGGAGTACAAAGATGACTTTCAGAGAGAAATAACTGAGATTGTTGAAGTCATTCATATTGAAGATGAGAAAGTACAAAATAGACTCCAAAATATCTTAGCGAGACACAGCCAATCACCATTCAGTGCAGAGAAAACAAACCAGTGGCTGGAGAATAAAGAAACTGAACTGAAGATTCTGAATGACTGCAGAGCAGCAGATGTTACTGTTGTAAAATCACAGGCAGAGTTACAGCAGATCATAGGTCACTCACAAATAACCAGAGTGATGTGTCTCACTCTTTTCTCGCCAGATGCTGAGGATTTATATCTTGTGACTTTAAAGCAGCACATTGAATCTCATAACACTGTTCAAAATGATTCACTTTTGCTTAGGCCTGTTAGCATCAATCAGAAAGTGCTCATTGACGTACAGCTGTTTATTGCTGCTAAAGAAGCAAATGACGATACAGAGCAAACTAAATTCATTGCTGCATCTGTGTCTGGTGATTGTTTTCAAGAATACTCTGTACAATTTTATCATGCTGAGACAATTGTGAGCAGGCAGGTGAAGCTTGGACTGAAACCAGATCCTCCTCAAATAGCTTACATACAGCACACTAATGTTTCTTTGAAACTAAATAATTTGCTGAACAAAAGCACTGAGAGATATGTGGTGGAGTATGGAGTTGTGAATAATGATGGGATGGATAATACATGGAAACAGATAGTTTATCCTGAGGCTTTAAAAGAAAAACATGTTCTATCAGGTTTGGAACAAGACACAGAATATCAACTCAGGTATGCAGTCGCTGACAACCAATGTATGAGCAGCTTTAGCTGGATTGTTAACTTTAAAACAGCTTCTGCAGGAAGACCTGGACAACCCTCTGTTAAGATGAACAGAGATGCAATCACCTGGTTGAAGGCTGAAACTGACGAAGATTGTCCAGTGCTGCGGTATATGGTTGAATATAAAGAAGCAGGACTGGAGGGCTGGTCATCAGTACAAACACAAGGACCTCAGTGTGAATGTACTTTAACTCTACCTTACAGCACCTGCTATAGAGTCAGAGTCTCAGCTGTCTATGAGGACATCACCAGCAAACCTAGTGAGGAGACACCAGTACCAGTGGATGGTGAGATACATGTGAAAGTTATGAAACAGATACTTTTCTTTTAACTTCTTAATATCTTTGTTTAAATTATAAATGCTTTTTCAATGTTCTTTGCAGTCTGGTCCATTGACCTCACAGTAAGAAAGAGCTCCATTCTCTTAGAAGTGCTGAAACTTCAAAGATTGAAGAAACCTGTAGAATTGATGGGCTGGTCAGATGAAGAGAGTGAAGTGAAGGGATTCCTGCAGTGTCTGCCCTACATCTCACAGCTGAGGTGAGTATTCATTTGTATATTTGTCCCACTAGTAGTTATTTTTGCGTGATAGATTGTAAAGGAGCTGCTATAATTGTGACCATGTAGATTCACTCATCCAGAGAGGATATCCTGGGAAGAATGGGAAAAACAAAAGAGATTGTTTCTGTTGAATCTGTGTCTGCAAGCTGCTCTCACAGATACACCAGACAACATAGAAACAACTGTAGAAACACTGCTGTCTGTTGAGGAATATGAGAGATGTGATTTCCTGCTGGATCTTTGCTCACATGTGAAGGACTATGAGACTCAAACAGGCAGGAGTGTCCTTCCAGCATTACAGCCAATTTATCAGTCAGCTCCTGCAGTCTGGATCATAAAGCTTGTAAAATCACAGGCAGAGTTACAGCAGATCATAGGTCACTCACAAATAACCAGAGTGATGTGTCTCACTCTTTTCTCGCCAGATGCTGAGGATTTATATCTTGTGACTTTAAAGCAGCACATTGAATCTCATAACACTGTTCAAAATGATTCACTTTTGCTTAGGCCTGTTAGCATCAATCAGAAAGTGCTCATTGACGTACAGCTGTTTATTGCTGCTAAAGAAGCAAATGACGATACAGAGCAAACTAAATTCATTGCTGCATCTGTGTCTGGTGATTGTTTTCAAGAATACTCTGTACAATTTTATCATGCTGAGACAATTGTGAGCAGGCAGGTGAAGCTTGGACTGAAACCAGATCCTCCTCAAATAGCTTACATACAGCACACTAATGTTTCTTTGAAACTAAATAATTTGCTGAACAAAAGCACTGAGAGATATGTGGTGGAGTATGGAGTTGTGAATAATGATGGGATGGATAATACATGGAAACAGATAGTTTATCCTGAGGCTTTAAAAGAAAAACATGTTCTATCAGGTTTGGAACAAGACACAGAATATCAACTCAGGTATGCAGTCGCTGACAACCAATGTATGAGCAGCTTTAGCTGGATTGTTAACTTTAAAACAGCTTCTGCAGGAAGACCTGGACAACCCTCTGTTAAGATGAACAGAGATGCAATCACCTGGTTGAAGGCTGAAACTGACGAAGATTGTCCAGTGCTGCGGTATATGGTTGAATATAAAGAAGCAGGACTGGAGGGCTGGTCATCAGTACAAACACAAGGACCTCAGTGTGAATGTACTTTAACTCTACCTTACAGCACCTGCTATAGAGTCAGAGTCTCAGCTGTCTATGAGGACATCACCAGCAAACCTAGTGAGGAGACACCAGTACCAGTGGATGGTGAGATACATGTGAAAGTTATGAAACAGATACTTTTCTTTTAACTTCTTAATATCTTTGTTTAAATTATAAATGCTTTTTCAATGTTCTTTGCAGTCTGGTCCATTGACCTCACAGTAAGAAAGAGCTCCATTCTCTTAGAAGTGCTGAAACTTCAAAGATTGAAGAAACCTGTAGAATTGATGGGCTGGTCAGATGAAGAGAGTGAAGTGAAGGGATTCCTGCAGTGTCTGCCCTACATCTCACAGCTGAGGTGAGTATTCATTTGTATATTTGTCCCACTAGTAGTTATTTTTGCGTGATAGATTGTAAAGGAGCTGCTATAATTGTGACCATGTAGATTCACTCATCCAGAGAGGATATCCTGGGAAGAATGGGAAAAACAAAAGAGATTGTTTCTGTTGAATCTGTGTCTGCAAGCTGCTCTCACAGATACACCAGACAACATAGAAACAACTGTAGAAACACTGCTGTCTGTTGAGGAATATGAGAGATGTGATTTCCTGCTGGATCTTTGCTCACATGTGAAGGACTATGAGACTCAAACAGGCAGGAGTGTCCTTCCAGCATTACAGCCAATTTATCAGTCAGCTCCTGCAGTCTGGATCATAAAGCTCTCAGAGAGAAAGAGCTCCATCCTCCTAGAAGTGCTGAAACTCCAAACAGAGAAGAAACCAGTAGAGCTGATAGACTGCACAGATGAAGAGAGTGAAGTGAAGGGATTCCTGCAGTGTCTGCCCTACATCTCACAGCTGAGGTGAGACCTTATGTATAAATTGTAAACATTCATGTCAGTAGTTTCATAAGATTTAAAACACATTCCTTTGATTTAAACAATTATAAAAATTTATTTGGCTTTGAGTTTTGACAATCAAGGTGTTGTGGGGTGTAACTGAGTTTATGTCTGACTTAATTTGACTTAACTATCTTTTATCTTACATTTAACATTACATTTTTATCTGCTCAGATTTGAACAGAATGTGTTTAATGAACAGAGGAAAATGGACGCTGTTCAGTATCTGAAGAATCTGATTGTTGCAGCATCAGAGCTTAATAAAAATAATAGAGAAAACGTCATTGAGCTGTTCACATCAGTGTGCAGCTACACATCATTCCCCTGTAATAATGAGAATTTTGATGATTCCATGTATGAGATTGATCAATGTGATTTCCTGCTGAATCTGTACTCACACATGAAGGACTATGAGAGTCAAACAGGCAGAAGTGTCCTTCCAGCATTACAGCCAATTTATCAGTCAGCTCCTGCAGTCTGGAGCATAAACCTCTCAGAGAGAAAGAGCTCCATCCTCCTAGAAGTGCTGAAACTCCAAACAGAGAAGAAACCAGTAGAGCTGAGAGACTGGACAGATGAAGAGAGTGAAGTGAAGGGATTTCTCCAGTGTCTGCCCTACATCTCACAACTGAGGTGAGTGTGTAATTTTCATATTTATAAGTATTTTGTGTCTGTATCTATTTAAATAATTTATACTACTGAGATAATTCCAATCAATTTCAATGTCAGTGTCTAATAAAATTATTCATATCTGTAGAGTTTCTCCACCACAGAAGCAGGAAGAATCCTTTAAATATTGGGAAAAAAGAAAGAGATTATATCTACTAAATCTGTGTTTGAAAGCAGCTCTCTTCCAAGATGAAACCCTACAGACAAATATGAAGATACTGCTATCATCTGTTCTTTATGAAAAATGTGATTTCCTACTGGATCTGTACTCACATGTGAAGGACTATGAGACTCAAACAGGCAGGAGTGTCCTTCCAGCATTACAGCCAATTTATCAGTCAGCTCCTGCAGTCTGGATCATAAAGCTCTCAGAGAGAAAGAGCTCCATCCTCCTAGAAGTGCTGAAACTCCAAACAGAGAAGAAACCAGTAGAGCTGATAGACTGCACAGATGAAGAGAGTGAAGTGAAGGGATTCCTCCAGTGTCTGCCCTACATCTCACAACTGAGGTATATGAGTCAGGCTGTGTGTTGAGGAAAACATGTCTCTTAATGTGTTTGAGACATGTTTTCCTCAACTGTCTGTCAAAGCACCTGTCAGGACAATTAAGCCACTTTAAAATGTATGCTTTTGTTTAAAAACACTTAACAAAAAGCATGTTACCTATATTCACCTTATTTTTCAACGCGGAAGTAAGCCGTTTTCTGTGAATGTGCAAGACTTCCGGTTCATTAGCCGCTGTAGGGAAATAACGAGAAGAATAAAATAGTACAGTAAACTGTAAACCTGCTTGTGCTACAAACCAGTGTGTTCATAATTAAGAATTTATTAAAATAATATGGTAAGACACACCAGTTTGCAATGCAAAGCAGCAAAACGAGCCGTTTTGTACAGCTAAAAATAGCTGGAAGCGGATGACACCGGAAGCCAGACACATAAAATTTACTAATGGCCGTGCCCGCTCTTACGGAAAAATAAGGGTGGATAGGACAACATGGTTCATGCACTTTTCCAGCAGCAGCTCGCTCTGTGACCTCCAGTATTTTACAGAAGCCCTTTGTCCATAGAAATGCATTGTTCACTACTGTAAATCTGACTAGATCTGACTGGCAGATGTTGTCTTTGTGCAGCACACAGACGTGATTGATAATCATGTTTGTTGATGACTATTATGATTATAATTATTATTACTAGTAGAGTAAAAAGTTAGCACATTTCAAGCAATGCCGTCATAACTGTAACATTAGTCACATAGCTGAAATATTATGCATTTCTGAGGTGTAGTGATCTTATTTAACTGGTCAGGTTTTCTCAACATTGCATCCACTCATATATAATAAAACGTTTTTTTATGCAAATATGACTGAAGTTCTCATGTGAGCAAACAATTAATTAATTGCTGTTGAATTAATTAATTATTAATTAATTGCTGATTTCTGTAGGCGTAAGACTTTTTCTAAGTGGAAAATTTGCACCATTAATTATGATGGTAAATGCAAAGTCAAATTAAAATAGCTTGATTAGACTTATAGTTTGAACACTTCTGAATTGCAGGACCTTGCTCAACGGTGAAATTACTTGCCAATTTCATTCAACACTCACCTTAAATATTTTTCATGTGTCTTTTTTCTCAGCTTTTATAAAGATGTCATTTATTTTGAAAAGGAGAAGAAATCAGCCTTTCAGTTTTTACTGAATTTGAGTGTTGAAGCATCACAATCAACTGGAGAGAAATTTACGGAGCTATTAACATCTGTGTGCAGCTACACATCTTTCCCCTGTGTTGAAACTATTAATTATCATATTGGCCAGTGTGATTTTCTGCTGGATCTGTGTTCACATGTGAAGGACTATGAGACTCAAACAGGCAGGAGTGTCCTTCCAGCATTACAGCCAATTTATCAGTCAGCTCCTGCAGTCTGGAGCATAAACCTCTCCGAGAGAAAGAGCTCCATCCTCCTAGAAGTGCTGACACTCCAGACAGAGAAGAAACCAGTAGAGCTGAGAGACTGGACAGATGAAGAGAGTGAAGTGAAGGGATTCCTGCAGTGTCTGCCCTACGTTTCACAACTGAGGTGAGAATTTTCTCTTTGGCTACTCTTAAAGTGGAAGTGAAGCAGTCAATTTAGTAAATTGATTTCCACTTTAATTAAAAAATATATAACAAACACGATTAATGTAACCATTTTAAAGAAAAAAATGTTTTGTTATACACTGTAAAAAAATTCATGTGAAATCTACAGTAATTTACTGTTTGTGCACAGGAAATTACTGTATACTAGTTCACAGTATATAGAATACCGTAGTTTCAGTCAAAATTGCAGTAATGTAAGGAGTACTGTGGGTGTCACAGTAACCAGCAATGTCTTGTTGAAAATCACAGTAACTTCTAATGTATTGTAGAAAACACAATAACTAATTATGTACTGTAGAAAATCACAGTAATTACCAATGTATTGTAGAAAAGACAATAACTAATTATGTAATGTAGAAAATCACAGTAATTGCCAATGCATTGTAGAAAACACAAGTAATTATGTATTGTAGAAAATTACAGTAACCAACAATGTGCTGTAAAAAATAAATAAATCACAGTAACCTATTATATCCAGCTTAGTTTTACACGAGAGATGAATGTGCCATTTTAGGTTTGAATCGAGAATACAGGAAGCAAATGTATTCTTTAATAAAAATAAAAAAATGACCAGAAGATCATCAAGATTATATTGTCTTCTACACATCTAGCAATAAGTGAAGAATGATTAATGAAGCTTGTTACAATGATGAACAGTTAACCCTGACTGTTGATAAATGAATATTTATATTTAAATCATGCAACATGCATTATTTATTTCTGTTTTGGGGGGGGCTGAATCAATATAACTAAACAGCAATGGAACCTGTTGGTACCGATAGTCTAGTGGTTAGTGCATTGACAGATAGTGCAGCTGTGTCTCTGGCGACATGTTCGATTCCTAGCTTAAGGTCCTTTGCCGATCACATTCCCCACCAATTGTTACACTGTCCTGTGTAATAAGCAAAAAAACAAAAAAAAAAGTTGCACTTGCAAATTAGTGAGTTTTACTTTACAGTTACATGGTTGCTACTGAAAATGAAAACAGCAAAAATATGGTTATTTCTTCTACAGTAAGTTACTTGTCACTTGCTGCCAGTTAATTACTGTGAATTTCACAGTCAGCTTCTGACAGTGTAGCATTTGGAGCACCCATGCCGCCATCTTGCAATACCACCGCGTGTGACGTCACGGGGTTGGTTCGCTCCGCTGGCCAGTATTTCTTTACATTTTGAACACACAAATGTTATTTTAACACACAAATGTTTTGGTTTTCACTATAATTTGGATGAATATTAAACATGTACAATATGTATATCAATATCACCTCATCAATATCACAAAGTTGTGATCATTATATTCCAAACATAGTTTTCATAACGAGGTGCAATGTGATGTAAACAAACAGCACTTCATACAGTATCGTTAATTTGGCATCTTATGTCAGACCTTTCAGACATATTTGCATTACACTTGCTCATTAACCAGTAGTAATAACATATTTTATGTTATTGCGAATTTACTTGCTGTTAAGAGAATGCAGTTTAGCTAATCACCTAGCACATCGCGCTAGTGCTGCTCTGTCATTCTCACATGTTTTAAGCCTTGTCAGTTTAAACATTAAAGCGTTTTAAGCCATTAAAAAGTGAGTCAGCACGAAAGAGATTTTAATGTGGCACTCGCGCGCTGTGACGGATTGTTTCTTTGCGCACACACACACACACACACGCAAAAAGTGCTCGGCTCAGACCGCATTGGAGTACCAAACTGAGTCCTCTTTCTAGTCTGCTTGAGCAAATGCACAGAGCATTATGTTAATGGCTGTTTTGAGAGTATCCATGCAAACGCGATTTGTTTCAGACCCGCTCTTCACCCTGAACCAGAGCCGGTTCACGACTTCTTCCACCTGTAACGGCAGTAGGCTACTCCGGTCACCTAGCCGTATCGGCTAAAATGCATAAGCATTTACACTTATTATGGGCTCAGTCCTTTCAAGTTCGTCTTCCTTCATTTAAAAGTAAAGAAATGCTTATAGTACTTTTCTGGCCAGCGAAGCGAACCAACCCTGTGATGTCACACTTGGTGGTATTGCAAGATGGCGGCACCCTAGCTCCAAAAGCTATAACGAAACATAATTTTTTCTTTAAAATGGTAACATTAATCGTGTTTGTTATATATTTTTTAATTAAAGTTGAAGTCAATTTACTAAATAAGGAAACTTGACTGACTGCTTCACTTCCACTTTAAGTTTTTTTTTTAATCATTTATTGGTAAATCTGATGTTTGGTTCCAACTGAGAAATTGTGAACTGATGATTTTATATTTATTCAAGTTGACCTTCTTGCTCTACAGATGTCTTTGACTTAAAATCTTTTTTGTATAGATTTAATCCACCAGAGAAGCAAAATTTTGAAGAATGGGAGAATAGAAAGAGACTGTTTGTACTGAATCACTGCCTGCAAGCTGCTCTTTACCAACAAGAAACTGTAGAGAAAACGATGAAGGCACTACTCTCATCTGTGAATTATGAGAAGTCTGATTTCCTGCTGGACATTTATTCAATTATGATTGTATATGAGAGTCAAACAGGCAGGAGTGTCCTTCCAGCATTACAGTCAATTTATCAGTCAGCTCCTGCAGTCTGGTACATAGACATATCAGAGAGAAAGAGCTCCATCCTCCTAGAAGTGCTGAAACTCCAAACAGAGAAGAAACCAGTAGAGCTGAAACGCTGGTCAGATGAAGAGGATGATGTAAGGGGATTCCTTCAGTGTCTACCCTACATTTCACAACTGAGGTGAGATTATCTCTTACACAAATCAGCAGTTTCAATTCAGCTACAAACAAAGTGGGCACATTGGTGTCTCTTTATACCTAGTGGGACACAATCAATCAGATGCGTGACAGCAGGTACAAACATCTCTAGTCATTTGGTATCAAGCAAAAAACTTTGATTTAAGATGGTACAAATCATCTCACATACTATAAATGGCCAAATAATATCAAGTAAAATAATCAATCAGACCTCAAAGAAACATCCTGCAATTCAATGAAAAGAGCAGTATGCTTTTTACAAAAGAGCCAGTCAATAGCATCTGAGAATGCAATAAGATTGACTAATGAATCGAGTGCACTTGCAAAGAAATTATGCACAATGATTTTTAGACCCAGGAGGAGACGGAAAGTAATTTAACATAGTTCATTAACTTGAATTTTAACAACTATTGCAAAATTGGTATCTGTTTTCTGCATGACCCAGGGAAGATTTTGAGACCAGTTTCATTACAATAGGCTAATATAATAAATAGTTATTAGCATTTTTGGAAATTAAATTTTTAATGGTTAATAGCTTCATATGAACGGTTTATCACTTTTGACCAATAGGTGGCACTGTTACCAAATTGATGTGGCGTGGCCAGTGTGAGGTGACAATGGTACATACAAAGTTTGGTGTCAATATGTCAAAGCTTTGCAGAGATACAGTCTCAGCTGCAGTTTGGGATCATTCCAGTAAAATTGTTGATGTGTTAAACAATATCCATTTCGTATATCAGAGGTTCATAAAGATACACCAATGTGTTTGTAAACTATACCATTTTACAACAAAATTCAAAATGGTCGACGCCCAAAATGGCTGATATGGGATAATTGGGTATGGTTCGACTCGGCATACTGCACCAAATCCAAAAAGACCCATTTATGAGCAAAACATGCCATTTTTCATATCTCCTGACCACTAGGTGGTGCTATGCCAAAACTGTGCAGGTAGCCTCAGGTCATGGTTATTATAACGCACACCAAGTTTGGTCTCAATACTCTAAAGCGTTGTGGAGATATAGCCTCATGTCCATTTTTGCTTGCTCTTCGTCAAATTTGTTTGTGAGTATTTGAGAACGGTTTGACTGATCTACTTGAATTCCATAACTTTTTGCATTGTCTGAAGATGATCTGAGTCAATTTTACTGAAAATCAGACAAACCGTCTAAGACGATTTCAAAAAAGTAGGTTTTTCAAACTATTTAAAAATTGCAAAAAAAATCTTGACCCGTAGAAATTTTAATTTTGGTGTCCACTTGACTCAAAAGTTACTAGCATAAACATGAGTGCAACTTTGAACTGTTGGTGGCGCTAGAGGGTTTGGGTTAGAGACTCCAAACTTACTATAGTTGATGTTCAGACTGTCCTCTATCAGTGTGTGTTTCCGGCATGGGAGGCGGGTGCTAACAAAGAAGCTAAAGCGTCAGTTGCTAATGTGCCTTTTGAGATCAGGGAAGTAGGTTTACCTGCACAGTTCTTACCAGCTGGCCTCCGTTACATATGGCCTTTTATGAAGTGACTTACCAGGTAAATAACTGTAAATACCAGGGCTGGGAAAAAAATATAGATTTTTAAATTTTAATCGTTTCTCATTTTTACGAATCGATCCCAAGAATCGATTAGTCTAGCCTATTTTCAGGTAACGAATGGAATATTGTAGTGCACCTACCATCCAATAAATCGCAATACGTTTTGTGCTTTGTTACTTTTTATATGAAACAAAGTCTCCAATTTCAAATTCTGTCCATTTTATTACAATATTCAAACAATAAATGCCATGACAGATCGCTGTAGCACCTAGCGGCAGGGCAAAGCGCACGGGAACTGATTGTCTCCTTCGCATTAATTTTTGCATTATTTTCAACACAATATAAACATGAATAAACATCCAAAGGTATGTTAAAAGAAATAGTACAACTTACCGAAATTCGTATCCTGTCTCATGTAATAACTCAATTAGTGTTTCAAACCCGCAAATACATCAATATAAGAACTTGTAAACAATGTTACATAATGTCACATTTACCTCAGAAAAACATAGGCCCTATTCGGCAACCATAAACTCATTAGTCAGGTAGAAAAATTAACTCTAGAGAGGACCATTTTGCTAAATATATGCACCATATAGCATATTCATTATAATTTTTTACTGTTCTTCAATGTTTATGTCTGAATGAATCTGTCAAGTTTTTATGACAGCCACTATTTAAATGTTTATATTTCAAAAAACGAATTGGAGTAGAAATATTATTATGTAGACTAATTGTAACCTTATTATTATAAAAACGTAATTGAGTGCAATTTAAGCATTTGTATACAAATCAGTTCATTTGAACCTTCAGTATTATAGTAATGTAGTGCCTACTGACTCTCATGTATATTTTACAGCATCAGTTGAGAGATTTTTTTTTTTTCTTGAGAAAATTTGGCAGGTACTGTATCTGATATATATCCAAAATAATCTATATCGAATTGAATCGAATCGAATTGCAAGCTTGTGAATCCGAATCGAATCGAATTGTAAAATTTGTATCAAAACCCAGGCTTAGTAAATACATCATAGCCATAAAGTCATTTCCATTTATTCATTTAGCAGATGCTTTAATTCAAAAAACTTGTAACATCAGAAATTATTGAAAAATAATTAACAACATAGAGCGTCTGTTAAACAATCAGAATAAGGTAGTCTAGAGCGCTGTTGTGTAAGTGAAATAATTGAATAGCTGTGTTTTGTTCAATTATTAAAAATTAATGCACATTTTTGAGATGGTATTGTGGCCACAAAGCAAGGTGGAGTTAATGCATTAATTTTCAATAATTCAAAACAGCTATTTATTCAGCTTATATCACCATACCTCACACTCAAAAAATGTTATGTTTGTAATTAACTTAAATTATGTAAACATTTTCAGTTTGGGTCCATACAACAAGACTCCAATTCAAACAAACAATGTTTTGTTGAACACACAATAAATTTAAGTTACTGTGTTAGATAATAAATAGCACATTAGCACACTAAGGACAGTATCGTTTTTTCATAATATTATTATTGTATTATACCTATGATCAGTGTTGGGGAAAGTTACTTTTAAAAGTAATGCATTACAATATTGCGTTACTCCGTAAAAAAGTAACTAATTACGTTACTTAGTAACTTTTTATGGAAAGTAATGCGTTACGTTACTTTTGCGTTACTTTTTAAAATCTGGACAGGGCTTGCTTGTTTGATTTTAAAATAAAAAAAGTTCTATTTTTGGCAAATATAAAAGCCTTTTCACACCAAAAGTGAAATGAATAAGCCTCAGGCTGAAGGGAAAGTAGATTTACGGTCGTACAGTAGAATGCAGAAGACATTTCAACACTTCAGCAATAAAAAAAGACACACAAATGTTCGTCTAGAGTAATTTGTGCTTATTAGTACAGTTGAACTGGATCATCGAAGGTCAGAAGCAAAGACATTGGTTAATAGAATGGGATTAAATACATAAAGCATATTTGTGTTGTTTAACATTTAATTATTGCAGGTTTGCGGCACATTCTGAGTTGCATTATTTTTATTCATTTTGAGGAATACTGAATCTGTGTTTTTTTTTGTGAGTGAGTGAGATTAATTAATGCATATTCATATTTATTTTAGAACTACAGTAACATCTGATTTCTCTCAACATGTGGACAGGAGAGCTGTCAGTCAATAAATTGGAAAAAAAAAGTAACTTGCGTTACTTATCTGAAAAAGTAACGCAGATATTCTCTTGTAAATGAAAAAAGTAATGCGTTACTTTACTAGTTACTTTAAAAAAGTAATCTGATTACGTAACTCACGTTACTTGTAATATATTACCCCCAACACTGCCTATGATATAAGTAAGAAGAGACTGGTATCAGTATTGACATTAGAACAGTTATTGCTCATGGAGTGAAGCAACAAGCATCATAGTTGTAATGTGGTCATCTATAAGCCTATAAGCGCAAACACAATGGTAAATATTCATAACATATTAGAAATGTTTCTAAATCTTTAACATAACTGAAAACATTCAACAAGTCTTTCCCTTAACAATATAATATCTGATAAAATAACACAACATTTCAACAATTACTCTCCTAATAGCTCGTTTGAACAAGATGTCACGTCACTGCATTGGCGGGAAATGCAGATGGAGGGCAGGAAGGGATTTTCTACATGGGAAACACTATCACAAACTCAAAATGTTTATGTTTTGCGTTATTTATGGTTGCTCAAATCAATCAAACCGAAAAACCACAAGGAGCTTTTGTCGTGTACCAAAAATTGTTCATAAGGGGGAAAAAAGAAAGAAATTTAATTAAAAAAAAACAGGCAAAAGTGGCTTGTAAATCGGGCTGCAGTCGGGAGGAGCTTGTGTGTGCAAATGGTTAATATATTAAGATATAATAATATATTAAGAAATTAATAATATATTAAGATATAATAAAGATGTATTTAAAACAATAGGTAGTACAAGCAGGGCTGCCAGCTTTCATGCATTCAATGAGAGACTCACGCAATTGAACGTTCTCACGCAACAAGTCTATTTTCTCACGCAGTCAAAAGCACCCTCCTTTAAAACTGTAATAATAGGATATTGGTGAAACAGATTTGGTGGGCTCCAGTACGTATTTGTTTTTGATATTGGCTCACTTTGGCTACATATAATCAATTCAGAATTTGAATAAAAGTTGTGCTGCTAACAGAACCAACGGCCACATACATGCAGCAAAGTTTCAGGAGTGACATATGTCCCACATCCCTTATATAATTGTGGGATCCACTTGTTTGCAGTCAGGGTTAGTTGCTTATATCTACCACCTCGATGGCAAGCAAGTAATTCAGTTCAGTTGAAAAATTGCTTCATAACGTAAGGATCATGTCCAACATAATGTTGTGATTTTTCTGTTCATACCTTTCTCTTGTAATAGTGTCTAAACCAGTACATTACGGACTTTCCTCCATCTCGTCCATTCTGCTTTTCACTTCCTGCACTCCATCTGAATTTTGTGCATCAGCAGAATCACGTGACTGCAAACACGCTATGCAGTCCCATGTCAAGCATGCTGAGAATTACAAAAAAGTAAAAAAGAGAATTACAAAGCATTTAGTTTTCAACAAAAAATATTAATGTACTTGCAACACATAATGATTAAGTTAACTTCCATTTTACAAATTTAAGTGGTTTGAACAAATGAAATTCGGTTGTGACAAAATGTTCAGGAATTGTCACTTTAGCTTATTTTAACAAAATAATTTGAACAAATAATAAAATATATTTTTTAAATATATATATATATATATATATATATA